TAGGAAGACAGCATGAATATGAGAGTCAGGAGGGAGCCAGAGTTGGAATGTAGAAGGAATAGACCAGGTCCAATATTCCATACCAAATCAAAGGATTCTCAAGGCAGGCCAAAGAGAGAAAAATCACGGAATCTGATGAGTAAAAGATTGTCTAGTCCAATCCATACAAAAGCTCTGAATGGGGAGACAGGCTGAAATATAAGGATTGTTGGGGGAACTAGGGTTGTTTTCTATGGAGAAGATGCCACTCAGAGTTAATATCATAGTGGTCTTCAAGTATTTGCATAGCTACCGGAGGGGAAGAGATTAAATCTGTTCCAATTGATTCCAGAAGGTAGTACCAGGACCACTGGGAGAAAACTATAGGAGAACAAACTCCATTTTATAGCTCAGTGGATGGAATGGTGGACTTGGAGTCAGGAAGAGCTGTGTGATCTTGGGCAAGTCACTTAATGCATCACCTCCATTTCCTCATCTTTAAATGCAGAAAATAATGGCACCTACCTTCCAGAATTGCTGTGAGGGTAAAATGAGGTAATATTTATAAAGCATGTTGCAAATCTTAAAGCACTGTGTAATTGCTAGCTATATTACCTACACTTCCCAACATATCCCTCTCATCTTCCCTTCCCAGAATAGTGAACAAGAGAAGAAAAAAATAATAAACTGTAATTCAGCAAAAGTAATCAACATTAACAAAGTCTGACATTATTCACAATATTCCACATCCATAGCCTCCCATATCTCCTAAAGAAATGGGAGCACTTTCTCATATCTCTTCTTTAGTATAAACCTTGGTTGTTATAATTTCACATCAATATGTTTTAATTGTTCAATGGGTAGGGCTTGATGCGTGAAGAGAAAGTGGTGAGTGAACTGGATCTTGGAGAAAGAGAAAGACTGCCTGACATGAGGATCCCATCCATTCCAATCATGAGACACAGTCCATGCAAAGACATGGAGATGGGAGATGGAAAGTTATGTGTTAGAGCAATAAGGACAGTTAGTCTCAACCATAGTGTGTGTACATGTGTGTTGGGGGTGGGGTGGGAATGGAGACAGGGAGTGATGTCCATGAAGTTGGCAAGATAGAGTGAGGCCAAGTTGTAAAGGGCTATAAAAGCTGAGCAGAGGAGGAGTGTATATGTGATTCTGGAGTTCATATAATTCTTGCCATGCTTCTGTTTTCATCTTCATAATTCTTACAGCACAGCAATATGCATCTAAATGTAAGTTCATGCACCACAATTTGTTTAACTATTCACAAATTAATAGGAATCTATTTGGTTTCCAGTTCTTTGCTTCCACCAAAAAAAAGAACTACTATAAATATTTTGGTATTTATGGAGTCTTTGTTTTTATTCCTGACCTCCTTGGAGTCCTGCCTAGGAGCAGGATCTTTGGGTCAAATGTATGGATATTTAGTCACTTTCTTTGCATAATTCCAAATTGCTTTCCAGAATGGTTGAAACAATTTACAATTCCACCGATGCTACATTTTTATTCCTGTCTTTCCACATTCACTTCAAAAAATGACTGTTCCCATCTTTTGTCATTCTTACAATTTATTGGGTGTGAGATAAAACTTTGGAGTTGTTTTAGTTTGAATTTCTCATTATTTGTGATTTGGAACATTTGTTCGTATGATTGATAATATTTTGCAGTTCTCCTTTAGAGAACCATTTGTTCATAGCCTCTAATGACTTCAGCTATTGAGGAATGGTTTTTCATCTTTTATATTTCTGTTAGTTGCTAACATATTTTGGAATATTTATTTTTTATCACAATTGAAGGGAGGCATTTTCTAACAGACTTATCAATAGTAGAATGGAATTATCACATAAGATACTGAGTTCCCACATTCGAGGAGAGGTTGATTAACCACTTGCCATGAATATTGTTGAGTTAATTCCTGTATTGGTATATGATGGACTACATAATTATTAAGGACCTTCCAGACTCTTCTGTAATTCTTTGACTTCAGAGACAGACCAACTCAATGGAGCTGAATGACAGCTGACTGACAACTTTGAAGTGCTTACAGAAGACTGTTTTAGGCTGAATTTGCATCTGTCAGCCACATCTGCCTTTCCCACTTAAGGTAGAAAATCTCTTAGCCATGGGCCCTGCACAATGGGCCAGTGAGGAGTTGCAGACAAAAGGCAGTTCCTGACAATATGTGTGCTCATTTTTTTTTTCAGGAAAGATTGAGTACTCCTATCCTGCATTCGGGCTAAATTATACTTGTGCATTTTTGAGATGGTGAATGGACTCCAAGAGAAATGGAGAACTACTCTCTGGCTCTCTGTACCGTTCTCTTTTGTGGATGTTTACTACCCTCTAGTGGTCACATGTGTTCCTCTTCTTGTGCTGCTTTTAAAGTACTCTCATACTCCAAATGATGGGATAATATGGGAGCAAAGATGATTGAGCCCCTGCCCCAAGCCTTTAAAAAAATGGTTGCGACATTAGCCAGGTAGAGGTTTCTGTCTACTAATATTGTTCTCACTCTTCACATTAGTTGGACTATCAATTCTCCAGAACTTTGTTTCAGCAGCATAATGATGTTACATGAGAAGGAATCTTAAAGATTACATAATTCAACACCTTCATTTTACTGATAAGGGAACTGAGGTTTAGGTAGGGAAATGATGAGAGAGAGAAAGAGAGAGAGAGAGAGAGAGAGAGAGAGAGAGAGAGAGAGAGAGAGAGAGAGAGAGAGAGAGATTGTAATACAACATATGTAGATTTAGATGGACCTCAGAGGCCATCTAGACCAGGGGTGGGGAACCTGTGGCCTTGGGGACATATGTGGCTCTCTAGGTCATCAAGTGCAGCCCTTTGACTAAATCCAAACTTCATGGAACAAATCCTCATTTGTTGTTCTGTGAAATTTGAATTCAGCCAAAGGGCCACACTTGAGGATCCAGAGGGCCACATGTGTCCTCCAGGCCACAGGTTCCCCACCCCTGATCTAGTCTAACAACCTCAATTTATAGATGAGTAAACTGAGGCCCAGCAGGGCTGAATGCATTGACCAAAGTTGCACAGCTATTCAGTGGCAAAACTGAGATTTGATCCTGGGTCCTTAGACTCTAAATGCAGCCCACTTTTCATTATATTACATTGCCTCTGTGATCTAGCAACTTACACTCACGTAGTGAGTTTACAAAGTTTACAGAGTACTTAGATGTGCGTGCACATATGTACACACATAGAAAATATGTTTATTTAAATTCTGAGAAGCAGAGGTATGGAGAGAGAGCCATCTTGAACAGAGAATAATTCTTCTTGGGAAGTGAGGGCTTTTATGAAAGTGTGTGGGGCTTCCTGCAGGGCCATTGGGAGATATAACTGACATACTTAGTCTATGTGTTGTTGTATCAGAAACATGTTACTCCTGAGTAGACAGCTGTGAAAGAAACTATGGAGGGTGCCTTACTGAATGAGAAGGTGATATATTTCTTACAGGACCATCAATTTAGCAGAGAAGTTGTGAAGATTGTTAAGGTAGTAATGAGATCTTGTCTGAGGTTATAAATCAGAGATTTTCTTCAGGTGAAATCAGCTTATTTTTGTGACTTTCTCCAGTGTTACTTAGCACACCTAGGGCAGGAACCAAAAAATAAATAAGTGATGGCATGTACCCAGGGATAAATATTCACAGGATGGAACTAATGGAAAGGTAGGAGCAAAAGACATTTTGGATGGTCACTACTGGTATGTTAAAGTCACAGACTATAGAGTCAAAGTGAGTTAGGGAGGCAGGACAGGACTGATAATACGGGGGTAAATCAAGGGACCAGAGTTCAGGAACAAAGGTGAACACTAGGTTTATCACAAGTGAGCGAACGTGGGAGAGGTGGACATTTGAACAAGTAGTTGCGGCCTAGAATGGAGTCTCAGAATTCCATAGGCCTTAGAAGAGATAGAATTCCAAGAAATGGATTAGGTCTAAAGCATAGCAGTATGAGGCAAAGAAAAATGTCCTTAGAATTGTGGAAAGGGTTAGAATGTCAGTCAACCAACCTATTAATACCTCCTCTGTGATGTGCTACGTACTCATAACACAAGGTCAAAAATAAAATAATCCTTGACCTCAATGAGATTATATTCTGTAAAGGGAAATAATATGCACATGTAGAAATAATGCAAATGTAGAAGTAAGCATATACAAAATATGTACAAAATTTAAACAAAATAATTTAGGGTAGGGAGGTGCTAGTGGTTGATATTGTTAGCAATGAATGTTGAAGGACTAGGGATGATGGGATGGCGTGGGGGAGAGAGGAAGCCTGTGAGCTTTATATTAACGACACTAAAAAATAACCTGAATGTTGGACGATGGTAGCATCATGAATGAAGAGTGATACAAAGCAGTTGCATGGCATTGGATGAGGAAAGTTCCCTGAAAGTTGGTACTAGTGAAACAGTCTAGATCCACCAGTGTTTGTCCTGGTCCTAATAAATTGGGGTTGGTGATGAATGGGAAGACTAAATACCAGTGAAAAGAATTGCAATGGATGTCCTGCTTTTAGGGCAGAGCCATGTTTCCATTAAAGCTCAGAGAAAGCTGTTTGACTGAAAATTTCAAGATGAAAAGAGAGCTTCTAAACATTAGTACAATCTTTCTTACTTCCATCTTTCTTTCCTTCCTTGCTTCCTTCTTCTTTTTCTCTTTTCTTTTACTTTTTCTTTTATTCCTTATTGCATAGCAACTCAAGAAGGCTATCTACTAAAATACTGGAAAATTGCAAACTGCCCTAATGGAAAGAGCCCCCATCATGGTGAAACTACAAATCTTTACATGTTCCAATTAAGTATAATTATGATTGTATTGCAGGGAGCATTCCTGTTCAGAGACAAGTTGGACTAGATATCCTCTCCAATCCCTTCAAACACAAAGCTAATAACAACTTCTAATTCACAGGGAAATGTCTATCCCTACCTCACTTTCCACCATTTTTCATGAACAAACTATTTTTCTGTTTTCTTTACAGGGCTCTCAAGGATCTCCTGGTGTCCCAGGACCACCTGGGCCAGTTGGTCCCCCAGTAAGATTAACTTCGTTTTGTGTCCAATGTCATCATTTGGGTTGGGAGGAGTATGAAAAATAAGAAGCATAATTTAATCTGTTTAGAAATATACGTCAGTGTGTACCATCAGTTATTTTGAATGGAAAGATCATGAAAAAAGATATCCTCTTCCCCTTCCCAAGGACCTGCTACTTTAACCAGATGATGTGAGGCTTTCAGCTAACACCCCTCTCTACCATTCTCAAGACTAGTAAAAGTGCCCATATATGCTGAAATGGGCACCTGTGAATTTGTGCTAAGCTATTTACGACTTAAAATGTTATTTGCCTTTTAGGCCTGTCTACTTACAAGGCCTTTTTTGTTTGTGAAAAAGAAGAGAGACGTGTTATGAGGGCATGGCTTATAGAGATGATTAATGAAAGTAGTATTAGAAATGATGCACTATGAAAAAATGGAATGAGCTGAGTCAAAAGGTGCCCCCCTCATTAGAAGTTTTAAGGCAAAGCTTAGATAAACAATATTTTTTTAAAGGAAGTTCCTTTTCAGTTACATATTGAACTAGATACCTTCTGAGTGTACTCCAAACTCTTAGAAGCTATGATTTTGTGGATTCAGGGATTACCATGTGAAGGCAGTCAGGAAAAAAAAAAGTCCTGTTCTTTATCAAAAATTAATTAAACTCTGAGAACCTCTTTAAGCTCTAGATCATATAAAAGAATTCAAATTATGTGATGTGCTGGTCGTGGGTCTGTTGTATCTTCTTGGTAAAGATGGTTGACTGACAGTTTCTTCCTCGGGGTTTCCTCATCTAGGGCCTATCTGGAGAGATTGGCTTCTCTGGAAAACCTGGTCAGCCTGGCCAACCAGTAAGTACTCTTCCATATACTTGTGAAGTTGATTATTTTTAACCCATGCACAGAACTTGAACTTTGACACCATCACATTTCATCATTTCAGATTGGACCCAACATTCCAGCCTGTCATTTCTAGATACAGTAATAGATATTTATGTCTATCATGTACTAGCTCTTTTTGATTCCTGTTAAGATATTTTTAGGTTATGATCATTATACAACGTTTACTATTCCTCTCAGTATTGTGTCATCTGCAAGTCATGGCTTTCTTATTTCTTGACATCTCTACAGCATTTGGTACTGTTTACAACTCTTTCCGACTGCATATTATCTCTTCTCTAGCTTTCTGTGATGCTTCTTTCCTCTGGTTCTCATCCTAGTTTCCTGACCACCCCTCCGTGGCTTCCTTTGCTGTCTTTCAATCCATTTATTACTTTCTAATTGTCTATATACCTCAAGGCTCTGTACCAGTCCCTCTCTTCTCTGTTCTTTCTTTATCCTATCCACTTCTTTCAATTGGGATCTCATCATCAGACACTGATCTAGTGCTCATTTCCACACATATAACTCCAACATCTATATGTCAAGCTCTAGTCACTCAACTGAGCTCTAATCCTACAACTTCCTAATAGACTTTTCAATTTGGATGCACTATAGCCATCTCAGTGTTAACATGTGCGAAACAGAATTAATTATATTTTCTCCCAAACCACCTGTCTTCTTAACTTTCCTATTTCTATTGAGAGCATAGCTTGTCCTTTCAGTCACCCCTGTTTTCATCCTCACAGTTATCTTGCACTCTTCATTCTCACTCACTCCACATATCCAAGAATTTGCAGTATCTTACCTCGACAATGTCTCTCACCATATATCCCTTCATTACCCACACAGTCACCCTTTTTCAAATTCAATTTGAATTTGAATTCAATTTCTAGAATTCTAGAATTTAAATTAAATTCTAATTCAAACCCTTTTTCCTTCTCTATGGACTATTCTAATATCTTCCTTAGTGGTCTCCCCTTTGAAATGTATCATCCACACAGCTACCAAAGTGGTTTTCCTAAAGGGAATGTCTGATTATGTAATTCCTTAATCACTGAAATCCAGTTACTTTTTATTGCCTCTGGGTTAATAAACTCCTCCATTTTGCATTTAAAATCCTTCACAATCTATCTTCAGCTGACTTTTCAACCCTCATTGTGCATCATTCTCACTTGATGGTGTAGCCAAATTGGTTTTCTTGCTGTTTGTCATGCATGACCCTCCATCTATCTCCGTATCTCTGGCTCTCCCCTTGCCTGGAATGCACTCCATTCTCACCTTTGACTTTTAGAAGCCCTTGTTTCCTCCAAAACTCCACTCAGATAGTACTTTCTACATGAAACTTTCTCTCGTTACTTCCTCCACCCTCAGCTATCACTGCCCATCCTTCCAAAGCTACTTTTTATTAATTTTGTGTACATACATAGGTGTTTATATGTATAATGTTTTATATATCATATATATACATATTATGTATGCATGTGTGTACAAGCATATGTATGTATATTATACGTTCTCTTCCCCAATTGAGTATCATCTCATTAAGGACAAGGATTGTTTTGTTGTTGTCTTTGTATATCCAGAGTCTGGCACATTAGTTGATAATTAATAAATGCTTGCTGATTGATCTGCAAATTAGTTTTATGTGTCCATTATCATTTCCCTATCCACCCTGAGCTATAGTTTTACCCCTTCTTTAATCTTTCACTTGCTTGCAATGTATATATATATACTTTTTTAAAGTGTTCATCCTTTGAATCAAATGCAAGTTTCATTTCCTTCTAGTTGTTAGCATTCTTTACATTCTTATGAGACAATGACATTTTTATATTCTTCCTTTGTTAGCTGTCCTTGATTCTCTCTTCTATCCATGTCTTTTAAAACTCTGCCTTGGTCAGTTCTATATCCACAGTGAGCTCTGTAGGAATATCCTTCTTTTATTATTCATTGGAATCCTTAATGATTGTGTCATTAGAATTTTAATCTTGAGAACATTTCAACTTCCTCTGTGTGCATTATTGACTTTCCCTGCAGAAGTTTGGGCCAGTTAGCTTTTCTATTATCTGGCTGAAATTTGGTTTCCCAAAATCTAACTGCTGCTCTGCATTTGGTAGAAAGAGAACTCTGGAAATTATGTGATTAATTGAAATCTCTCATTGTTACTATCCTATGGGTCTTTCCCAGATTTATCATCTTTTTCTTCCTTCAAACTAGGGAGTCTGGAATATACCACTATGATAATAGTACCTGCTTCGTTGGTCCTCATTCTAATATTGTCCTTTCTGCTTTCCACATTTTAACTTGTGTATTTTTTCACAGGTACATTATACTGTGATGCCTCATTTGTCTAATGTTTTTCACTTTTGAATACAATCTATCTTCCCATTACCATGCTCTGGTTATGACCCACATCCCATCAAATCCCAGCAATTTCTATGAGGTCCAATGTACCTCCTTGCATGAAGATCTCTTTTATCAACCTCTGTGCATGTATGCATGGACATCTAAGCCAATGAGTTTTATTTATTTATTTTGTTATTTTTTTTTTCTTGTTAAGTTGCCTCCTGTGAATTACTAGTCTTTTCCATCAATATGCCATAGGACCTTACATTCATAGTCTTCTTCATATGTCACTCCTATTCCTTCATAGGAAACTTCTTCATTGTCAGGAGTGAAATTTGAACTTAGATATTCCTGACACTGAGTATGGCACTATGAACACTGTATCATGCCACCTCTGTACCACTTGCTACGGTCTATCATATTTGGTATGGTAAATGACAAATAATATGATGAGGTCAAAGGAAAGAATGAAAGTGATGTTAGAAAATTTTAGGACAGAGTAATCAGTTCCATCTGTGGATACCCAGAGAAGGTTCATGGAACTGGTAGCCTCCGAGTCAGGCTTTGGAAGAAGAGGATTTCAACAAGCAGAGATTTTGGAAAAAATAATCCCAGATAATGGGGATTTCATAGTATCTAAGTATAAAGCAACTTTCTAAATTGGAATTACTTAAATATGCATATATCTGACCTATTATTGTTCTTTTGGTGAATAGGGCTCCCCTGGTAAAGATGGGACAAATGGACTTCCTGGATTGCAAGGCCCTAAGGTTGGTATCAGATATATGTTTAAATCTGAAACTGCTCAAGTTGATATTACAAAAAGTGCTACTTTCATCATTATTCATTTCCAAATACATTAATCATCAGAAAGCTGTGAAAAGGGTGATCTTATGGTTAATTTGCAGTTTGTTATACTTTTCATTTGTTTATAGGATTGAGTTTGTCAGGACTATACTCAGAAAGGTGAGGAATTAGTTTCTGGACACTTTACCAACGTTAGTTTTTCCAGCTGTTCATAGCAGCTGAAGGGGAGAGTTGAGATTGGAAGTGGGGTGGCTTTGGTTTTGGCCATATAACCTGAGTTATTTGACTCTTAGTTATACATTCAGCACTATACCTCACTGCTTTACTCTAATGATGCCATCACTAATACTACCACTAATATCCATATATATATATATATATATATATATATATCATATATGTATAATATATCTATATACACACAAATAATATAGTATATATGTATATACATATATATATATCACATATGTATAATATATCTATATACACACAAATAATATAGTATATATGTATATACATATATGTATATGTGTAATTACTGATAGAGTTACTATTATTAATCATATGCTGTTATTTATTTTCTTCCTCTTTTTCCTCTCTTTTCTCCTATTACATATGATTTCATTGGTGTAGGTATTCTATTGAAACAAAAGCAATGCTTCTGTTCATTAATACCCAGTGTTCTAGAGGTTCTATAGCCTTAAAACATCATTTCCTTGCAGCCAACCTGATAACTGACCTCTCTGAACTCTCAGCCAGGCTGTCCTTGAAGAACAGACATACACAAATATGACCAGTGCCTGGCATACAGTCAGTGTTTAATAAATGCTTGTTGACTCAGTCTTTGCAAGGAGTTGTAGCCCACCGAATTCATTTTCTGAAGGCTAGCCTCTAGTGATGAAACCTGAAGTCTGAGAGAAGTAGCTCATTTGTGATCACATTTGAGATCACAATAACAATAAATACTTGGACTGTTTCCAATGCCATGGAGGGGGGTAGGGGTGGAAACACCTGTTGTTTACAATTTGAATCATGTAACAAAAAGGCGTTATGTCAATAATAGTTAAAAATCAAGACCAGAAGTACTGATTGGCACATAGGGAAATGATTCTCTGCAGAGTATATGCCTTATGGATATGAAGCTATTCTAATAGGCATTTAGTGTATACAGAAAACACATGGTCATTCCATGTTCAAAGCTGATCAGCCACTGCCCATGGGGCAGCTTGTTCTGTTTCCAGAGAAGACAGAAGCCTTCTAATATGTTAGTCTGTTAGATCTGGGGATCCAAGACAGGGACTCAATTTGTCTTTTGGTTTGTCTTGCCCAAAATCTGGGACAAAGGAAAACAAAATAGAGGGATTAGATGGGACTGACCATTTAGACTGAAATGGAAGCTTACTTTTAAATAGCATTACCCATAAATAAAAGGAAAATATGGCAATCCCTCTCTCTGTCACCATATCACCTTGGTAGCACTTGCCAATGTTTGTAAGAGAGCCAAGTGTTATTTACAAGCCACAATTAATTTTTTGGAGTAGGATTGCCACTGTCACTGCTGCTGTTTTCTCCTCTATTTCTCCTCCCCTTCTATCTCCTTCCATCTTCTCTCTCCTCTCCTCTCTTCTCTTCTTTTCTCCTCTCCTCCATCTTCTTTCCCTTCATTCCTTATATTTATGTTGTGATTTAGGGTTATGCTCTCAACTATGGCCTAATGCCTCACTGTGATATGGAGCTAACCTGGACTTCTTGCAGGCTATGCCAGTGGACTCCTAAGTCTGACAGATCCTGACAAGCTAGAAAAGCTTCAAGTAATGTCAAATCAAGTAATCAAGTCACAGACTGTGATTCTGTCATCTTCAGGCCAGGAAAGCTCTGTTTGGAGAGGTTCATCACTAGAAGGCCACTCACCAAGGACTAAATTAGAGGGAGGGGCACAAGTCTTCTAAAATATCATTTCATATAGGTGAAGAGACATAGGTGGGAATATATTCACATTGACGAAATTACAGATGCTTGAAATCATGAAGTATGATTGTATAAGGTGGTGGGGTGAGACTGGCCAATGAGACCACAGTCATTTGTGTCTGTACAGACAGCCTTTCATGTTTATCAATTTATTTAGTTTTCCCAACAACCCTGCGAGGTAGATTGTACAGGTATTATTAGGTCCATTTTACAAATAGTAGAACTGAGTCCCATAAAGATCACTCGTTCAAGGTCAAGTGCTAGGGCCAACCTTTGAACTCAGCCATCTTTCTCTACATAAAGAGCCCTACAAAAGCACTAGATGCATATGTTATTGTTGTTATTACCATCTGGGACTCCTTACAGGTTGGAAAAAGCCAGAGCTAGATAAAAGAGAATAATAAAAAATTTCCCCAGGACTATAAACATTTCATGCCCTTGAGCTGGTTTGTGGAAGAATCAATTTTCCCAATAGCTTCCTTTAAACAATGTTTAGCACATCAAAGAAGAGGTATGAGGGGAATGTTTTATGCTTCAAGAGGCTTGGGTAACTCTTGCTTCCCCAGATAGAGACAGAATAACAAATTCAGTGTGATGGCTCCTGACATTGTCAGCTCAGAGACCACACGGATGTTGCTTTCCTCAAATGCGTGCCTTACTCAGTCTCACAGCCATGTATCACTGTGGTTTGTTCTGCTGTTATAAGCATTAATGTTGCTGAAAAGACTAACTCATATTTCTGTAGAGCCTTTAAGGTTTGTGAAATGCATTTTCTCACCTGACCCTGTGAGGTAAATCATGCAAGTATTATTGTCATTTGACAGATGAGGAAACTGAGTCTCAGCGGTGAAGTGATTTGGTCAAGGTCATGTAGCTAGTAATTCAGGGTCCATATATGTCCGTCAGGTAAGATTTCCCTTCATATGAAGTTCTTTACCTTTATTGAGTCATAGACTCCTTCAATTTGGCCTATGTTCCCCCTCTCATAATGTTATTAGTGCATGAAATAAAATACATAGTATTATAAAGGAAACTATATTGAAATTTATTTATCAATATATTAAAAGAAAAATTCATGTACTTGAGATTAAGAATCTGTAGCCTAATATTTCTCCATGAATTGATCCTTTTTGCCTCCTTTTCTCAGAATAATCTCCCCTACCTGGGGAAGATCTTCTGCTGAAGACTTTGTTGCTATGTAGTATAGAAGAAGCACAGAATTTAGAGTGAGAAGACTTGAATTCGAATTCTGTCTTTGCCATTCATTGCCTATGTGATATTGAGAAGCTCACTCAACCTCTCTGAGCCTCAGTTTCCTCATTTGTATAATGGAGAGAGTGGTCCTTGTCTTGCCTACTCCAGTGCTGGAAATTCAATCCCCACCCTCAAGGAACCTATACTCTAATACAGGAAATACAGTGTTATGTCTGTCTAGGGAGCCACAATAGCATGAGCTATGAGAATGAAACTGCCATTGCTTTGAAGCTTGGAATTATTATGTCCCACTTTATATCACTGGGATGGCTTACATAAAACTGGTGTTCCATTTTCACTTGGTCAAGTCAGCAAGCATTCATTTAAACACTTCCTATGTGCCAAATACTGTGTTAAGTACTCACAATTACCAGTGCTTTTGAACTATTGGACTCTTCCTTTGATGTATTGCTAACTGATGTATTTATGCTGATTCATGGCACTTTTGTATACACATTTTGCACCTACTTATCATATTCCTCAAGCTTAGGTCACTGTGTCTCTAGATACTCTAGGCATCTTCTGGTTTGTGTAAGCAGTGTCTATTATCTAAATTCCAAACTTCTTAGCTGACATTCAAGGCCCTTAACTCCAATCTATTATTTCAGTTTTTTTTCTCACATTACATCATTTCGTGCCCATCCCCTGATGTTCAAACCAGGCTAGACTACAAACCGTTTTTTTCTAGAAACACATTTTACCCTTTCTCATCTCCATGCCTTTTTTTTTTTTAACACTCATCCCTAAATTGATAACCCATTACCTTGGATCCACTGAAATTTTAATCATCTTTTAAGACAGAACTAAAATGCCTCCACTTCCATGAACCCTCTCCTAATTCCTAACTTCTCCCCTTACCCTATCATTGCAAATGATTGTCCTTTCCTTAAAACTCATAGTACATTGTATCGCTCATATTGCACTTATGATGTTCATTTTCTAGTATAGCAGTTTGCCTATTTATCTTATATCCTCTAGAGATTGTAAGCTCCTTGATGGTACAGAATGAATTTGATATGTATCTCAAACTCACATTCACACAATCTCACATATCTCACAAATATCTTTCATAATAATTCAGTGCCTCAAAACAGTTGGCAGTCTGTAGAACAGTTTCTAACCATTCTCATAGTCTATGCTATTGTGGTTCCCTAGAAAGACATGATGTCTTACCTCCTGTTTTAGAGCATAATTTCCTTGAGGACAGGAAAGGTGTGAATTCCGAGCACTGAACTCCAGGCCTTCTTGCATATAGTAGTATTTAATATTTTTTCACATTTATTGAATAAGTATCTATTGATAGAGCTCAGTCAGTCAAGAACCATTTACTAAGAGGCAGTGGGATAAACTTTGGGATGTAAAAATAGAAAAAAGAAACCCAGTCCCTTTCCTCAAGGAGCTCACAATATAATGGGATAGACAACATGATACAGTAGAAAGAGTTATTAGACTTGGAATCAGGAGAGACAGAGTCCTTGAATCTTGCCTCTGATTCTTACTGGTTGGGTGACCATGGGTAAGTCAATGAATCTCTCTATAGATAACATTTGCAGTACTTTGCTCATACAGTTGGAATGAAGATCAAATTGTACCAAAAGCACTTTGAAAACCTGAAAGCAGCATGTAAATGTCAGTCGTATATTTTTGTGTTTCTTTCCATTCTGAGCACAGCAGATTCTAGATTCTTTTTTTTCAATAATTCATTTAATGAAATCTATATATTACAGCTTTTGAATAATCCATACAGAAAACATTTATTTCAGACCTGCTATGTACATGGAGCCCCTTATCGGAAATAAAATATAACGTGGTAGAACTGGCCTTCACCAACTGTCCTCTAATGATAGCCATTTGCTGACATTGACTCATCAGCTGCACCCTTTGGGGGATTGCAGTTATTCTGAATTATACTTTTATTGAAACTATAGCATCATCTCATTGTCTGTACACTTTTGCCTAACTTAATTTTATTTCTTAAAGATATTCCTATAGTTCTGTCAGATAGTGAAGAAGATGAAATCATCATTTTAGAGATTCTAGATTCTTAATAAATGTTGGTGAATTGAATTAAGCCAATTTCATAACAATATCATATGGAATCCAAAGCCTTGTCAGATGACCGGTGACATTATCTACAGAGGCAACAGAATCCTGACATCTTCCAGTAATTATGTTTTGTGTTTCTTATAGGGAGATCCAGGAGAACGAGGAGAAGATGGCTTGCCCGGGAATCCTGGACCTAGGGTATGAAATTTCTATTGCCATTATCCATCTATCTGTCAGTTTCATTTGTCAGTTAGTTAGTTGACTGTAGTTACTCTGGTTAGCAGAGCAAATCAAAGGTCTAGCTGCTAACATTATTCTGTCACATGTCTTATTGTTTCCCAGTTACTACAGACTAACATTGTTTCATTAGGACTTGGGGCACTTCCATGGCCCAAGAGATAAGAATGGGTATACTCTGTGTGTAAATGTATACATAAAAAGGTAGTTCTGGACCCAGGGAGGCTTAATAGACAGACACATGAATGCCATCTATTGCCATATTTCCTCTCATTATTAGTCAATCAAAATCAATAAACATTTATTAAGCTCTTACTATGTGCCAGGCACTTTGCCAAGTGGCAGGGATACAAAAAGAGGCAAAAGACAGTGCCTGCCTTCAAGGAAATAATGATCTAATTATAACAGGCACAGTATATAGAGAACTGGACCTGAAGTCAGGAAGACCTGAGTTGAAATTTGGCTCAGACACTTACTAGCTATGTGACCCTGACCAAGTCACTTAACATCAGTTTGCCTCAGTTTCTTCAACTGTAAAATGGGGGTCATAGTAGCACCTACCTCACAAGGTTGTTGTAAGAATCAAATGAGATAATACAATGAAACAATATTTGTGAAATGACTTAACACAATGCCTTTCACATGGTAGGCACTATATAAATGATTATTACTCTTCCCCTCTCCTTATATTATGATCCTCATTGCATGTGTATGTACCAGTAAATTCAAGGCTACATCCTGAACTCGGTAAGGTTGAATGAGGCAATATGATAGAATGGAATGAGCACTGGTTTGGAAGTTAAACTAGAGTCATAGGCAAGTAATTTTCTTTCTCTGGGCTTTCATTTTCTCCCCTGTAAAATTAAAAGAATTGATCTAGCTGATCTCAAAGTCCACCTACAGCTAGATTCTAATTAGTATGAATAATTAATCCCCTGAAATGGTGCATGTATTCAAATTCACACTATTCGAAAGTTAGAATTATGTAAAATATAGTCATTGGTTCAAGACCAATGGAAATATACAGTGTAAATTCAAATAGCATGAGTAATTTAGGGATTTAATTATTCACACTAATCAGGGTGTGACTAGTCTATTTTGTTCCATAGTTTTTCAATCAGTTTTTTGGTTGTGTCTGACTCTGTGACTCCAGGTAGAGTTCTCTTGGCAAAAACTGGATCGGTTTGCCATTTCCTTCTTTAGCTCATTTTACAGATGAGGAAACCGAGGCAAACAAGGTTAAGTGACTTGCCCCAGGTCACACAGCTCTGACACTTACTAGCTATATAACCCTGAGGCCAAATTTGAACTCAGGAACTCCTGGAGTCTTCTTCACTACAGCCCTGGCACTCTATCCACTGTACTACCTAGCTCCCCTTTGACTATAGTCTAACAGGGGTGGGGAACCTGTGGCCTCGAGGCTACAGATGGCCTTGTAGGTCCTTGGGTGCGACCTTCTGACTGAGTCCAAGTTTTACAGAACAAATCCTTTTATTAAGGGGATTTGTTCTGTGAAGTTTAGATTTAATCAAATGACTGCACTTGAGGACCTAGAGGGCCACATGTGGTCTTGAGGCTGCAGTTCCCTCCTGTGATCCCTTAGACTAAAAGCAAGTATCTACTTTACCACAAAGCAAGCAAGTGGCTTCTCAGTCTTTGCTTGAACTCCTCCAGGAAGAGGGAACTCACAGTCTTTAAAAGTATAACCTTATGCCACTTTTTAAGAGGTCTAATTTTGTGTGTATGTGTATGTGTATGTGTATGTGTATATGTATGTGTGTGTGTGTGTGTGTGTGTGTTTGGCTAGGCAATGGGGCTAAATGACTTGCCCAGGGTCACACAGCTAGTAAGTGTTATGTGTCTGAGGCCGGATTTGAACTCAAGTCCTCCTTAATCCAGGACTGGTGCTCTATCCACTGTGCCACCTAGCTGCCCCAAGAGGTCTAATTTTTAGCACAAGTGATCAGGTGGTTGGAATAAATTTGTCATGGGCTCTACTGAGGGTATGTCAAAAATGTAGTCTTTGAATTAATACTTCCAAATGTCCAGGATCTATGATATCATTCAGATGGGTATTCCCCCCAACATCACAGAATGAAACCTGCTCCCCTGACTAGGGAATGGTTTTTGTGAATTGCTGTGGCCAAGAAAATTTCTGCATTTAGCAAGGCCAGAGTCACTTCAGGCTTCAAACAGACCTCTGTCACTAGGCCCATACTTTATTTTATTTCAATTTTTTGATCGCCCGTGCAATTGTTCACGTTCATTATTTACCATTGGCTTAAAAAAAAAAGAAAAAAAAGACTGAAAGAGGTATATCCAGAAATGCCTGTGATATAAAAACCAAAGCACGTGAGTTAGATTTCAGAGAAGATAAAGGAATGCATTTGGTTTTAACTTTAACAAGACAGTTGACTCTGCTTCCTATATGAAAAGACGTTATATGTACAGGAGGTCCAAAGGTTCTAGTACAGTTTTAAGTTATTAAAACCGGAACATTCTTTAGAGTGACAATACTAATAGCAATAACAATAAGCAATGTTATTATTATAATTTTATGTAATATTTTAATATTTTCCTTGGCAATACCATGATGGTACCCACTTCATCCTGTCCCACCTTTACCTCAATAGTGGAAATTCTTTCAGTGTACAGTTAGACATGGTCCCATCTAAAAGAAAAATGAAATAATTCTAATGTACTAAAAACTCAGCTCTCTAGCAAGCTGGATCAATTTTTAGAATCAGAGAATTGGCCTACTGAAAGGGTTTCACAGGTCAAACATGAATTCTAATAAGAGATCATCCAAGTATCTACTTGAGAAGTAATAAGGGTCTCTTTATCTTCACATGCAAGCCACCTATCCTCATTGCTTGACTTATTTCATATCAAGGGTGTGATTTCATTGGTGTGAATGTCACCTTCAATACTGTAGGTTGTAACTCTTCCGTGGAGAAGGCCTTCATGACTTGATATGGATGGAAAAATCCATAGCTGGTTGTCAACTCTCTGACCTCTCCTAAATTAAGTAGGCTGATTTCTTTTTAGAGACTAATTTCCAGTGAGTATGCTCAAAGCCTGTCCATTTTATTAAGACCTGCCAGAACTTATATATTTTGGTGTTGTAGACTTCAGGAAGTCTGTGTTGTCTTGAGACCACCATGAAGATCTGGATGGCAACTCACAGCTTACTTTGGACAATGTTTAGAGCATAAAAGTAAAGGGTGGCAGGATAATAGGCAGGAGCTGGCTTTTCCTGTAGTGATTCCCTGGGAACGTGGGTAATATGCAGAAACCTTCTGTTCTTTGGGCAGCCATTTTGCAGTCAGGGGCTCTGGTGACAACACATATTTACACAAAATCAGATATACTTAGAAATTTACTGGAATTCTTCAGTTCCTTTTCCTCCTCCTTCTCAATTGTCACTAAGAAGCAAAATATTTTAGAAGGAAACTTTTGTTTTACGTGATAGATTTCAAAAAATAAAATATTGTATTTTGCCTTCAGTAACACATTTATGAGAAGCAGGTTAGGGTAGTGGTTAGAATGCTGGGATTGTGTCAGATCTTCTGACCCTTACTATCTGTGTAATCATGGGCAAATCACTTACCTGTTGGCTACCTTAGGCAACTTCCTTGACCTTAGCAACTAAGTCATAGTTGCTTCATGATCCTAGTTGGTAGGAAGAGTTCCCACAGCTGACACAATTTCTAATAGCATCATAAATTTAGAGTTAGGAGGGATCATGGAGGTCATCTGGCCATTTCATTTACAGATGATAAAATGAAAACCTAAGAGGATTAAGTGATTTGTCTAAGGTCACACAGGTAAGGTAGCAGAACTATGATTTGAGCCCAGGTACCCTGAACCCAAAATGCATTTTTTCTTTTTGCTGATGCACACTACTGAATATTTTTGTAAAACATCTGTGACTCACTTCTTTGAAAATATAAAATATAACTTTTATGATCCCTTTGAATAACATATACCTATACCATAAACTCCTTTACAGGAACCAGAAAGTAGAGTGTGGGGGGGGTCTCTTTACTTTTTTTTTAAAACTTACCTTTTTACTTTATTTAATTTTAACTACAAGCTAAGATCCCTGGAAATTTGGCCACCAAATGATTAATGTTTTTTAGCCAAAGCAAGGTTTGAAGATGGTATCCTAAAGCCTGACATTTGTCACCCTGGTTAGTGGAAGGAGCAAAAACCAAGGGAACTAGCTTTTTTAAATACTATAGATAAATACTACCTGAAAATATATTCTTGAGAAGAGTTGAAATAAATTCAAGGACATCAGAACAAGAGTAACCTATTAAAGGGAAACAGGGTTTATTTGGGGAATGTCTCTGATCTTAGGAGTGTGAAATCTAGGAAAACAACCAAGCTGTCCTATGAGCCATTCCTCAGTGCTCTCATTACAGATGGAACCTATGGGTCTTGACATAGGATACCATTGCTTAGATTCTTTAATAGATCCATATTAACCTAGCTCTCCCTTTTTCTCAGTGTACTCAGATCCTTTCCCCTTAGCTAGATTACAGGTCTTCAAACTACAGACCTATCGGGCTTAACATATCTTACTGTGTTTGGGTTACTATTTCCCATAGATGTTTGTACAGAGCCTATGAACTATGAAACATTTGACATTGCTGGGGTAGAAGAATGAATCTAGAGGGCAACTCAGACAGCAGCTGAGATCATTAGAGTATATGTTTAGAGCTGGAAGCCACCTTAAAAGTCATCTAGGCCAACCAATTCATTGATGTGTGTGTGTGTGTGTGTGTGTGTGTGTATGTATGTATATATATATATATATATATACATATATGTACATATATAATATGTATGTATGTATGTATATATATGTGTATATATATATGTATATATATACTTATATATCATTATATATTTATAGCAGTTAGGTGGTACAGTGGATAAAATACTTGAGCTGGAGACAGAAAGACAAGTTCAAATTTGGTTTCACATGCCAACTAGTTACATGACCCCGGGCAAGTCACTTAACTGCTGTTTATCTCATTTTCCTCATCTGTAAAATGGGGATAGTAACAGCACCTAATTCCCAGAGTTGTCATGAGGATCAAATAAAACAATATTAGTAAAGTACTTTGTAAACCTTAAGGTGATATATAAGTTCTGACTATTGTCATGCAAATTGACCCCCAATTAAATCACTTGTTCAAGATCAAAGAAGTAATAAATAACATAGATGACATTTGAACTAAGGTCATCTGACAACAAATGTTTTCATTGTTCCATGTCTTCTTGTCTAGGATCAAGACTGAAATGAGGAAAAGGAGGACAAAATAAGAATGATAGACCAAAAGATTAGAGATGCCCTGGAGATCATGGTGAAAATGAAAAATAGAAGGAAATAGGGAGTCAGGGAATAGAAGGATAGGAATTTATAATACTGGAAAGGAATTCAGACCTCAAATTCACAAAAGCAGCAGCAACCCCTTTGTGAAATGCCAAAAAGCACTCCTAAATTAAAGGGGGGCATCCCTATTATCTCATACTTTCTATTTCTCATTTCTACCATGATAGAGAAAGAAGAAAGAGAAAGGGAGGGTGGGAATGAGGCAGAGAAAGGGAGAGAGGAAGAGAGGGAGAGCGAGAGGGAGAGAAAGAGATGCAGACTTGTTTGTGGTGGAGTGGTGTGGCTGCTGGGGTTTAGTGTTTCTGGGTGTCTTTCTTTGTGTATGTGTCTGTATTTTTGTTCTCTTGTATTGCATATGCATCCCTGAAGAATATTGTGGCCAAGCAGTGGTGTAAGATACTAGAAGTATTGAATATTGGGAACACTGGAGGGTTTAGCAACCATGAAGGTATGCTACAAAGGTAGACAGTTATTCCCTATTCTCTTAAGGAGTATCTCTGTGAACTACTTTGATTGGGGAGTCATGGGCTTGAGTTAATCAGTTTTCTAGAAAGAAACCATTCAAGCTTAGAGTTGTAAAAAATGCACTTTGGTGGAAATGGCTTTGTAAACAATTTCATAAAAAATCTATTTTTAGGATCTTGTTGGATATTTCACCAGGAATTTTATGAAATGACACCATTTATTCCCTGTTATCTAGGCTAAGAAATAACATTATTTTTTCCCCCAATTGAAAGTTAGGACAAGATAGATTTTCTTGCTGTAGAATAATTTTTGCCTTTTTTTTTAAACCTTCCCAGTCTTTGGAAAAAATAATATAGGAAAGAAGTTAGATTTATATCTATAAATGTCTATAAATTTGTGTCTAATATAATTATGTCTATTATGTCTATATCTATCTATTTATTTTTGCCTTTGACGAAGTTTGAAATTCCATGATGACCCTGGTTGCCTGTAATCAATTTTTGTAAACCTTTTGCTAGCATGATTTCTTAAGATCATTTCTTTTATGGGAAGGCTATTGATTGGGAACTTTTGACGATAAACATTCCCTGGCAATACCACACCGAACGTCATTGCTGAGGTGAGCTGCGTGGACTTATAACTCCATCCTTTCCACACAAACCACTCAGTCTACCCTTCTGAGGCCAAAGCTCGAGTTCTGGACAAGCAGCATGCTCTATTAGGTGGAATGATGGACTTGGAAAAATGATGCATCTGATTCTCTCTAGCTATGAGACCTTAGGAAAATCATTTAGTCTCTTTAAACCTCAGTTTTCTCACCTGCAAAATGATAATTTTAATACTTGCTGTATCTGCCTTGCATTATTATATTTAAGGATATATAAATATATGTATATACACATATATGTATATATATATAAATATAAATATAAATATACAGCATTACTGAAATGCTGTATAACTGAGAGTTTGTATCATTCTGTTTTCAGGGTGAAGCTGGGGAGCAAGGTCTAGCGGGCATGCCTGGTGAGAAGGTGAGTAGATGAAATCAGCATTATCTTCAGTCTGTTAATTCATTTCAATTGCTATCTCTACTTTTACTCTATCTGCAGTTAAAATCATACAACTCATATTAGCTGAACAGTGGATTGTTTTCATTAGTGTGGTATGTTAGCCCAGGTCTCCTTCCAGGCAATCATGTGCCCAACTTCGGGGATACAGAGTAATATGAGCACTTAATGATACAAGAATTTGGTACCACCCTTTACCACTAAGTGTGACTTATGGAGGGATGGTCTCCCTTCCTGTTCTGAGCTCACTTCTATCTCTGCCATTCCTTCTGGGGATCTATACAAATTTAAATGTATTCTCTAAGAACATGAAGAGGTCACATCATACTTTCTTCTCTTCATGACCTATATCAATTTAATAATCATTTTCCTCAGTGACCTCTGGGTGTTGAAGTCCCCCTTATTAGGAAGTCCTAAATCACCTTTCTCTCTTTACTGCCTTGGCCCAAATGCTCGTTCTCTCCTTTTTTTCTTTGTCACTCTTAGCTCACATCTAAATTAATTTTCTTCTTTATTTGTTGTTGAGATGAAGTCTTCCTGCAAGTCTATAGTTTTTAAGCAATTAGCATGTTCCGCTATTTTGTTGGACATATTCCTCTGTGAAAACATCTCTGTCTCTACCAGTTCCTATTCATCCTCATCCTATCCCAACATGACATAGTAGGAAGAGCACAGGATTTGTAATCAGAAGACCTAGAATCAAGTCCCAGTTAGTTCTCAGTTGATGAACCCAAAAAGAGATTGTGCAATTTCCTAGCAGTGTGATCTTTGAACAGTTTACTTGATTCACTGAATCTGTTTCCTCATCTGTAAAATGAATATAATAGTCCTTTCATCACAAAATTGTTTTGACAATTCACTGAGAAAATACAATAATAGAAATTCTTTATGAACTTTAGAGTATTATGCAAACATAAAGCCCGAGGTAAAACAGTTTTGGTAGAATGTAGAAAATGTGGGGCAGTTAGGTGGTGCAGTGGATAGAGTGCTAAGCCTGGAATCAAGAAAATTCTTCTTGAGTTCAAATCTGGCCTCAGACACTTACTAGCTATGTGGCCCTGGGCAAGTCATTTAACCCTGTTTACCTCAGTTTCATCATCTGTTAAGTGTCTCTGCCAAAAAGAGCCCCAAATGGAGTCACTAAGATTCAGAAACGAGTGAACGACAACAACAACAGAAAACATAGGTCACTCCTTGTTCCAATTCACTACATAGTCTCCTTATACTTTTCTTATTTCTTTTTCAATGGCTAAGTAATAATTTAGATTCAATGAATCCTTGTTGAGTCGAGTGGGAATTTGGAGCCCTTTATGAATCTCTCATCTCCATAATTTGGGGTTGTGTTTTACCAGGGAGAAATGGGGCTTCCAGGATCTCCAGGGATCCAAGGACTAAGAGGAGAGAAGGGAGATGAGGTAAGTACGTTCAGAACAGGATGGTTGATTTGCCTTAGAGGTCACTTCAACCCCTATATTATCTAACCTTAGGAAGGAGGAACATTATTCTAGAGCTTCATTCTGAGAATATTATGATGTTGTTCAAGGGGAATTTATCATGTCAAAGGTTCAACATTTGGGTATTTAATGATATGATCCTTTTACGAAAGGGAGAATCATAAAATGTAGAGTTACAAGGTCACCTCGGAAGTCACCTAGGCTAACCCGTTACCTAAAGCATGAATCATCTCTGCAGTATCCTGGACAAATGGCTTATCCATGTGCTTTGCTTGAAAATTCCAAAGGCTTCAAGGGATCTAGGCAATACAGTGGAGAGGGTGCCAGTGTGTAGTCAAGCAGATGTAATTCAAATACTGTCTCAGACACTTTCTGCCTATATGACCTTGGTCAAATTATTTAATCTCTTTGTGCCTCATTTTTCTCAACAGTAAAATGAGCATAATAATAGCATCTACCTTTGCAGTGTTGTTTTAAGGGTCAAGGGACATATATAAAATATACACATCCACATATGCATACACAGACACACATACCTATACAAACACACATATACATATATGTGTATACATGTATATATGTGTATGCATGCATATATACATACATATATAGCACTGTACAAACATTAAAAACACTAAGTCTTATTATCATTATTACTACCATTACTCAAGGATGGGGAATTTACTAACCCTGAAGGGACCCTATTCTACCTGGGGACAATTCTAATTGTTAGGAATTTCTTCCACATGTTGAACTACAATCTACTTCTCTGTAATATAATTCTTTCATTACTTCTACATTTGCCTCCTGGGACCAGTGAGAAAAGTCTAATTGCTCTTTAAAATGACAGCGTGAGAATTATGATGCTTAAATAACATCCATCATACTCTTCCCCATTCAAGTCTTCTCTTCTCCAAGCTAAATATTCTCAATTCCTTTAACTTTTACCATTTGTCATATTTTTAAGTCCTATCACTACTCTGGTCACCTTCCTCTGCACATATTTCAGCTTGCATCCTAATGATAAAATCACAGATCCCCCAATACTGATATTGATCCCTGGGGACTGGCCGAAGACCCACGACCATTAGCCTTTCTGCCTAGCTGCCCTCAACCCACTGCCAACACAAAACTGGATCAGAGGAGCTGCACTTGGATATCCTTTATTGTTCGTTCTGAACATGAAATAAAAGCATTCCCATGATGATGCCCTGCTCCATTTATATTCTCTTCACAATAATTTATTCCTATTCCTCATGATCTGAACTTATCAGTTTTCCATTTTCATCCATTTTCTTGCTTTCTCTCTGTCTCTATTTTTGTCTGTATCTCTCTCTGTTGCTCTTACTTCACTCATTCAATAAATTCTCATTGATCAATCACCACAACATAAAACTAAGACCATCGTGTAAAATAAAATGTTGATGCTTTTTGTGGAGCCATAGATAATAGTAACAACTTTGAACAGCTATACAGATGCTACCTCTTCCCCACATGGCTGTGTGTAAGTCATCTAGGTTCTCAAATATAAAATTGGTGATATTTTATAGAGATATGGTAACTATAACCCTCATCTAGGAATTCAGTTGGCCCAAAAGGAACGGGAAAATCTTCCTGTTTAGGGAATCTGTTGTGTTAAGGTCCTTCATGAGGGATGATGGAGTGTTATTGAAAGAAAGAATTTGGAGTGAAGATATGTGGATTCTGGTCTGGCTCTGCCACTAACTCACTAGGTGACTTTGGGCAAGTAATTTAGCCCCTGTGCCATCCATTTTTCTTCTTAGTAGATTAAAGGAGTCAAACTACATGAAAACAAAGGTCACTTGTAGCTGTAGGATTCCGTGGTTCTCTATTTGTCTGTGAATTCAAGGATTTATAAGACGTCTGTTTCAGGAGCATTAGAGTAATGTCTACACAGACGTTGCCTGCTTCTAGTTAAGATTTATTGTTGTTCTGTCTGTATTAGCTGACAGTTGACAGAGGCAACTGACAAAAATAACACTTTATTTTGTCTTGGCTTTCCCAGATAAAGAACAACAATGCCACTCACTTGCTTTTTATAACAATTCTCAATGAGAAATGATGGAACAGTTTCTGTGTTCTATCATTTCATCCATCCTGTTATAATTGTAGTGTTTCCTGCAGGCATGTTAGGAAAATGAATCTTTCTAATTGCACTTTGAGGTAAATTTGCCATTTTTCATTGTGGGGAGAGGAAAGACAGAATATGTGTAAAGAGTGAATTGTCTGCCATGTTGTCATCTGTGGAAAAAATTCTGGGATTGGAGTCAAGAGAAATGGGTTCTCAGAGTGGCTCTAATACTGAGTAATATATGACCACGGGCAATCCCTTAGCTGCTATGGGCCTCAGTTTCTTCATCTGTAAAGTTAATAAAAACTGTACTGCCTACCTCCTTGCAAGGAAAAGACTCTATAAATCTTAAATTGTTTTAGAAATATGAACTTGCTAACCTGAGCCTCCTTACTCCAAAATCTGTCTGCATGCTCTAGCATATTTAAATCCCAGTGCAACCTGACCTTATCCTAACTTATCACTGTTATGTCCCATTACTGCCCTCAGTGAACCCTACATCCCACCCAAACCAAATGTTTCCCACATTCAGCATTCCATTTCCCATCTCTGTGACTTTTTGGTTTGTGATACTGTGCATCCTCACTTCAGACTCTCAGAATCCCTAGCTTCCTTTGAGGTTCAGATTAGCTGCCACCTCTGCCTGGAAGTCTTCCTCACTCCCCTCAGTTATTAGTATTTTTTTTCTTCAAATTTAGTTTTGCATTTACTAATCTAATGTATCTCTTCAGGAGAAGGTAAGCTCCTTGAGGGCAGGCACTGTTTTGTGTTTATTGTTGCATCCTCATTGCCTTGCTCATAATTGACACCATAAATATGTTGTATTTGTTGATTGATTACCAGTTAATTATTTTTTTTTCCTTCAGCCTACCTTTCTAGCCTTATTTTAGATGTAATAACATATTCAAATACTCTTCAGTATAGCTAAACTAGTCTTGCTATTCAGAGCAGCTATGTGATGGCAATAGTTAGAACACTGGACCTGGAGGCAAGAAGACCTGAGTTCAAATCTGTACTCAAACATTTATTATCTATGTGACCCTGGGCAAGTCTTTTCACTACTCCCAGGCTCAGTTTCCTTCTTAAGGAAGTTAGACTCAATGGTCTTTAAACTCCCTTCTAGCTTTTAATCTGTTATCCTATGAGATCATCAGTCTTCTGAAACATAATAAACATTTTAAAATCCTTCTACATTGTGTCTCTGCTTTACTTTTTTTTTTTTTGGCTAGGCAATGGGGTTAAGTGACTTGCTCAGGGTCACACAGCTAGTAAGTACTATGTGTCTAAGGCTAGATTTGAACTCAGGTCCTCCTGAATCCAGGGCCGGTGCTCTGTCCACTGCGCTACCTAGCTGCCCCATGTCTCTGCCTTTTTAACCAGCACTTACTCAATGTCATTTCAACTTTTCTTGATGACTTAACATTTTCATGAAGAACATCAGCTATTGTGCTGTATTGTAGAGTGTTGATACCCTCAAGGCCTTCTGAAATATGGAGGACTTAAACAGCTTCAAATTGCTGTGTTTTGTTTTTGGTTTTTGTATTTGCTTTCTTTCCCCCTTTTTATTCCTTGATTTCAGCCTGGTGACTTTCATTTCATGTCATTATTTCATAGTGGAAAGAAAGCTGAATTTGGCATCAAAGGACCATGTTTTCTCCTGGCCTGACTTTCTTGCCTACTTCCCCTGTGTTCAATTAGGCAAGTCATTTAACCTCTATAGACATCTGTTTCCTCATTGGAAACTAGTGAGTTGGACTAAGATACTTTTAACCTTGAAGTCCTCTAATCCTGCTTTCTTTATCTCTTAATATCTCTTTATCTCTTCTCAGCTCCTTTCCCTTTTCTAATCGAGGTCTGTCATTTACTCTGGGCACAGGAACCAGATTGCAAGTCTGTTAGAATTGTGTATAAAATTTGAGCATATCTGTTTTGAGTGAGGGTCTGTGTGATTCTACCTTCAGAGAAATAGACCATGAGATTTAGCAGTATAGTTTTCTGATGTCTTTTGTCTCTGGTCAAAAGTTCTTTTTGCTTCCTTCCTGGAAACTGGCCATATCTTGGATAGGTAGAGTTTCTGGTAAATTGACCTCCAGGTAAAGAGAGTGTATCTAACTTAAAATTTTAAATTTTAAAAGAAAAATGGTCTAGAAGTTAGGAGATTTGTCTTTCCTCATGTTTCTGTCTATCTAGCTGTGTGAACTTGAGTAAATTACTTTTCCTCTCTATTGTCCAGTATCCTTTATTTTTCATAGAGCTGGAAAAATAATCTTGTTCATTTGCCTTATTTTATAAATTAGTAGACTTGAAGTCAAGAAAGGTTCAGTTACTCTTACCTCAGATGACAGATAGTAACTGCGCCAGGATTAGAACCCACATCTTCTAATGCTACATCCAATCTTTTTCCTGTTCCACAATGTCCCATTTTATACAAAGAAATGTCATTACTTACACTTCCTCCTTCATCGAATCAAATGAGACAAGGTTTTGACTGTGAGCTACATAGAAGGCAATGCAGAAATCACATGAAGGTCATGCTAGACAGATGCTATTAGTGGTCTGAGGAGCAATGATATTTATTATTTTTCTTTGTTGTACATTAGGGTGAAAAAGGTGGCCTGGGACTCCCTGGACTGAAAGGTGACAGAGGTGAAAAGGTAAGGCCAATTTGCTATTTCTTAATTTTCTTATTGCCTGGAGCTTTTGAAAGCATGAAATTATGGATATCTATAGGACATGACAGCTGGCAACCTGAAAAAAAGGAAGGAGATAGACAAAATTTCTCTTGTCTCTGTTATCAGTTGAAAGGAAAATGCTGATTCACGGATCCTTAAATGGATGAATTTTTCTTTTAGACATTTTCTATCATGTTAATGGCAGAAGTAAACTATATAATAGACTATACCAACCTTTTCCTATGCATGCTGATACCATCCATTTACTGTATTTTAACACAAATTCCTTTCTTTTTGGTTAATTTATTTTTACTTCCCCCTGTTCATATTCTAGTACCTGTCTCACAGTCTTCATAATCAACCAATGCCTAGGCATAATTCTTAGATAGATTTGCAACTGGTTGAATTATTGGACTCAAAGAAGTAATTAAAGATGGATTTGCAACTGGTTGAATGATTGTACTCAAAGAATTAATCAATGGCTAATAGTTAAATAATTAATGGCTAATAAATAACAGTTGACTATAAGCTGTCATGACTTCTCACTGCCCTAAGTCTTCTTCTCTAAACCAAACATTTAACCAAATCTTGTACAATAATGACGTCTAGTTCTCCTACCATATAGCTCACCCTTCTCCAGTTCTGCCCAACTTCCAACACCATCTTTCCTCCCCTCAGAGCTAAGCATAATCAATGTGATCTTACCAGGATAGAAGACAGGAAGATGGAGTTAATCTTTCTCCTTCTGAATCCTGTGCCACTTCTTTTAGTCTTAAGTTTGTCTTATCTGCCCTTGGTTTCCCTCCTTTCCCCACCCTTCTTTCTTTCTCCTGATCTTTTTTCTCTCTCTATCACTCTTTCCTTATCTCTTCTTTCTTTTTAATCTATATTTCTTTCTCCTTGACCATCCTTTTCTCTCCTCTTTTTTCTGTTTCAACCATTATTATCTTGGCCACTTTCTTCTCTTTTCTCCACCTTTGTTTCTTTTTCTCCTTTCTCTTGCTGCACTTTTTATGTTCTCTCACTGTCATTTTGTCTTTTTTTCTTTTTCTATCTTTCAATAATTCTTTTTATATCTCCTTTTTCTTTCCTCTCTGTTGTCTTAGCTTTTCTGCATTTCTCTGCATCTCTTTGCTTTTAATCTTTCTATCACTTTCTTCTCCTTTGTTTCTTTTTTTCTCTTGTTCTCTGCCTCTTGATCTTTCATTCTTTCTCCATCCCTTTCAGTTCTGTGTTTTTCTACCTCCCTGCCTCTCTTGCCTTTCAGTCTCTCAACTCCTTCTCCCAATTCCTACTTCTCTTTTTTCTCACAGGCTCTCTCATTCAGTTTCTTTCCTCCTTTATAGAGCGATGCCCTCTGGAAAGGATGTGGCCCAAAAAGAGATGGCAGCATAGGAAAGGGGACTTTCACAAACCAAGCTATAGAGTGCTTTATACTCATGGACTTTTCAGAAACATCATTTCAGAGAGAAAACTCATTTCTAGCACTCAAAGGCTTAGGATAATAAACCCTCTTTTATTGTTCCCCTTAAGCTGCTGGTACTTCCAGCAAAATTCTAAAATGCAACTTTAACTAAAGAAAGGTGCTTCCCTTTGGGTATAAATGGGCATAGACTGAGCTGGGCACATGGGGTATGTTTCTCACCTTCTCAGAACCTAATGATTAAACAAGATTTGTAAATTTTTCCTAGTCCATCATGCTACATTCATTCACTGGGAGATAACTCTCTTTCCAAGGACACATTATCATAACCAGAGTTCATAGTTGATTCACAAGATTTAAATTTGTATTCCATTGTGCACATGAAATATTGTTTGACTGTAGGACCAACAGAAACCCTCAAAGTCACTCTTTTTTAAAAATTCCTTTCAACAGAACCCTAGTACAAGCCCTCATCATCAATCACCAGTATTATTGCATAGTCCTCATAAGAAATATTCTGCATCTTCACTCTACCTGCTATAATTAATTTTCCCACTCCTTTACCTTTGGCTGAATACTTTCTTATTTAGAGATTAAGTCATATAGTGAAAGTCCTCTACTCTTCTAATATTCAAAATCTTCCATAGGTGTCACCTTACCTTTCCAGTGTTATTTCACATTATCCTGTACACACCCTATGCCCCAGCTAAACTAGATTCTGTCAACAACATTTATTAAGTGCTTACAGGGTTCCTGGAACTGTCCTAAACTCTGAGGATACAAAGAAAGGCAAAAACATGGTCCTTCAAGTCAAGTACTTCATGCTCTCAATCACCCTTCAACCCCAACCTCCACCCCACTGTCCCTTTGCATTACGCTCTACAATCTACAGGTCCCTCTGCTCATATTCTCCCCTATTCCTAACATATACTCCCTTTCTCCTTTGACCTGCTGACTTCCTTACCCTTGTTTAAAGTTCATCTCAAATGCAGCCTTCTTTGCAAAGTCTTTCTAAATCTCTCGTCTGCTATTAAGCTTCCCCCTTCAGACCTTACATAACACCTTTTTTTCAAATTTTCTAACATATTTGTCATGTAATGTCATGAATCACACTTACTGCCATGTTTGAATGTCCTGTCCCCCAACTAAAATAGAAGCTCTTTGATGGCCATAGCCATGTCTTCCATGAATTTTGTGATTGTTGCTGACAAGGGTACATCACTTTGGACATATTACCCACTTGATAAAAGGCTTGCTACATGAATGATGGTTTCATTCTCTTTGTTCTTCAGGGGGAAGCTGGTCCTGCTGGTCCTGCTGGTCCCCCTGGTCCCCCTGGCTTCCCTGGAACAGTAAGTTATGTGATACTGGATTCCATCTCTTCTTTGAACCCTTTCCAGCCTTTATTACATGTGCCATAGGGTCTCTCACTTTATTTCCTTTCTAATGCACTTATCAAGTAATGTTTTGAATTAGTCACCTTCCATTTTGTCTTAATCTAGATACATTTATTCCATGATATATTTTTGCACTTGAGTCATCTCTCCACACACAGTATAAGTTCCGGAAATATGATATAGACCAGCTCTTCTACTTCTCTTCTGTCCTTCCATAGCACTGTTCTGTGCATATACTAGATGCTTGCTTAATAAAGATTTATTTTCTTATATTATCATGGAACATTAAAACTGAGAGGGACTATAGAACACAGAGTGTGAAAAAGCACCATACCACAGTGAAGAGGAAAAAAAAAAACAAGTTAGATTTGGAGTCAAAGACCTGCTTTTAGATCCCAGCTCTGTCATTTAGTACCTGTATAACTTAAGGAAACTGCTTAACCTCTCTGGGCCTCAATTTCTTCATTTCTAAATGAAGAGGTTGGATTAGATTGTCTCTATGGTCCCTTTGAGCTTTAAATTTATGATTCTATGCTACTATTACAGGTAATTAGAAAACAGAATGGCAATACTGAAGAGGAGCTTAGTGATTATATGGTCTGATGCCTTCATTTTGCAGAAGAGGAAAATTAAGGTCGAGAGAGAAAAAGTGACCTATCCAAGGTCATGCAGGGTGTTAGTTGTTTTCTAGTTGTCTCACTTATGTTAGGATTTTTTTTTTCTTCCAAACAGGTCAGTATTTGGAATGTAGAATGGAAAGGATTGAAACTAGAAGGAGCCTTAAATAGCATCAAATCCTAACTATTTATTTTAAAGATAAGGAAAGTTAGGTTAAAAAGGTTGGGATTTGCCCAAAGTCAAACAATCAAACAATTAATCAGCAAGCATGTATTCAGTGTCTGATATGTTTTAAGGACTGTTCTAAGTGCTGCTCATCCAAAGAGAAAGCAAATAAGACCCTGCCTTCAAAGAACTTACATTCTAATGGGAGAGACAGTATGTATAGAAATAGGTACAAGATGGATCCAGAGTAGCTGAGAGGCAATTTAATACACAGCCTGTAGTGAGTGTTAAAGTTGGGCTCCAACTCAGTTTCTCCCATTTTAAATCCTATTCATTTCTACTATGCCATGCCATGTTGTCTCTAAACAGGGATACCCTGACACATCCTGTCACTATTGGAAGGGCTCTTAGCTGTTTACTAGGAACAGACATGAGCCTTCTAATTTTCCCAATATTTAGCAGTGCGAAGCCTGCACAGTTAGGAAATGTCTATCATTGCGTAAAATATGCCAGCAAGGGTCAGCTCTGATATATAGGAATAACAGACCTTCTATTACTGGTGCTTCAATTCTCCTCATTCAAGATAAACCGTGTAGTTTATGGGAATACCTCTTGGCTACTTCATACCTGGGAAGCAGTATGATTCAATGGAAAGACCATTGAAATAAGAGTTCTGCTTTGTATTGTAGAATTTAATGGGATATGAGGAAAAATTTTTATAACCACCCAAATTGTCCAGACATAGGAAGTATTGCCTTTGTAAGCAATGAACTTCCCATTACTAGAGATCTTCAAATGGAGACTAAAAGACCAGAGGGAGCTATTGGCTCAGAGAATAGAGCACTGAGCCTGGAGTGAGGAATTTAAATTCCTGAGTTCAAATCTGGCCTCAGCAACTTACCAGTTGTATGACCCAGTGCTAGTCACTTTATCCTCTATTTGTCTCAGTTTGCACAACTGCAAAATGGGGATAATAGTAACACTTCAGGGTCCTTGTGGGGATCAAATGAGATAATATTTGTGAAAGCACTTAGCACAGTATCTGGCAGATATTAGGAACACATAACAAATGCTTATTCCTTTCTCAGTTGCTTGGCATGTTGTAGATCAGGTTCCTATTCAGAGGTCCCTTCCAACTATGAAATCCTGTCAGTCTGTGAAAGCATTTTAAAATTGGAGAGGAGCTCAGAATCTTGCTGTGCAGCTTTGGCAAAGCAGCCTCATCATTCTGCTCTGTCTTCCCTGACTTTGACATATTGCACTAATAACAAGACTTAGCTCTCCCACAAGACATCTGCAAGGATCACTTAGCAAATGTTAGTTAAGTTGAATTATTATAAACTACCATACAACTGAGAAAGTAGTGTCTTTGGGGGATGTGTTAACAGACTGTAATTGTGCATTGCCAAGATGGAGAGTAATTAAGAAGAAAGAATACTGACAGCATTTTACAATGAAAAGAGGGTAATCACGGGACTCAGGTTCAAATCCTGAATCTACTTCTCACTAGTTATGTTTCCTTCTTGGAAGAAGTCATTTGATCTTACTGGACCCAGTTTCTGATATGTAAAATAAAGGTGTTGGACCAAATATCTTTTAAAATTACTTCAGGTTCTAAATCTTGTTGCACATGGAAGGAAGGAGGGAGGGAGGGAGGGAGAATAAGAAGGAAGGAAGAAGGGAAGGAAAGTGGAAAAAAGAAAGTAAGGGAGGGAGGAAAGGAGAGGGAAGGGAAGGAAGAACACAGTGAAAAAGGAAGGAAAGAAAGAAGGAAAGGAGGGAGAAGGAAGAAAAGGAAGGAGAGAAGAAGAAACACAGTGAGGGAGGAAAGAAGGAAGGAGAAAAGGAAATAGAAAGAAAAAAAAAAAAGGAAAATCCAATCTCTACATTATCTAAAAGATCAGATCCAGGAATAGCTCAATCTTTTCCTTTGATTCCCAACTCTAATACTTATTAGTTCTGAGATTTGAGACAAGCCATTTACCTTTCTGAGCCTTACTTTCCTCCTCTATAAAACAGAGGTTATAATTTGTGTCCTGTTTCTTTCAGAATGTTATTTCCAAGATCAGATGAGAAATTCAAAAGGTCCTTATAAACTTTATATGGTGCTCTATAAATGTAAATTATTTTTTCTTACCCTGCTACTTTGATGACAGTTATTTTATTGGCGTGGATACTCCCTTCATCAGCAAAGTTCACAGTTTCTCTATGATTTCTTTCCCTGTGAGAGTCTTTCCATCTTAGATTGAAAATCAACCCAACTCACTGAAAGATTACCTTGAATTTTTAAACTCTATCAGATATACCAATGTGTAGTGCTAGGTTGTCAATTTGTTAACTCCTTCTCCTTCTCCCTTTTTACCTTTTCCTCCTTTCCCCATGTTTCATTAGAAGAAAAGTAATGTGCAAAATTAGGTAAATAATTTTTCTACTATGCTTTACTATAGTCATCACAGATAGGTGTGTTGTTTTGTGTTTCACTCTGTGTACATTTTAGAAAGGACATTGATAAGTTGGAGTATCCAGAAGAGGAAAGGAGGAGGCTAAGCAGTCTTCAGCATTATGTTGTATGAGAGTCAATGAAAGGAATCAAGAGTGTCTAACTTAAGAAGAGATAATGTACCAGGGACATGATAATTGTGTTCCAGTATCTGAAGGGTTGTTATGTAAAAGAGAATTACACTGCTTGGTCTAATAGGGAAGACCTAAGAATGACAAGTAGATTGACAGAGAATTTTCAATACAATATAAATTTTTAAAAATGCCCTAACAATTACAATGGTTCCCATGGTGGAATGGTCTGTCTTAGAAGTATATTCCTTCCTATATTCCTATACTATATATTCCTACCTATATTCCTATAGTATATTCCTTCCTGTTGGCAGTCTTCAAACTAAGGCTAGATGACTATGTGTTATTAATGATGGAAAAGAGATTCTTGGTGAGATGTGGGTTGAAGTAGATGGCCTCTGGGGTTCTTTCCAACTCTGGGTTCTTTGGTTATGATGATTTCGTCTATTTTTTCCTCTTCTTCCTCTTCTCCCCTTTCCTTCTTTTTCTTTCTTCCCCTTTATCTTCCTTATCCTCCTCTGCCCTTTCTCTTCTAGATCCTCTTTCTAGATCCCTCTTCTTTTTCTCCCTTTTCTTTCTCATCCTTCTCTTTCTCCTCATCTCTCTTGCTTGTTTTCCTCCCATTTCTTCTCCTTCTCCTTCTTCCCTCCCTTTTCCCCCTCCACCATAGGACAATTTTATTTTTGTTTTTAGTTCATTAAATCTAAACAATGCCTTGTCTACCTAAAGACAATAAGTATTTTATTTATGTCATATCCCAGATGCCAAGAAGAAAAAGATCTCAACATCTGCTTTTACTCCCCAAGCCCTCTCCTTGCCATCTGCTCCTTGCCACTCCCACAAGTGTTGGTTCTAGTGTCCCACACATTTTTCAAAGGAGAGGCTAAGAACTGATGATCATTGTGTATTGATTTTTATAAATGATGTTTTATTTTAATGAAGAAAAAATACAGATAATAGGAATTCAGAAACATTGAGGAAAGTACTTTATTTACAATTATTCTGATTTAAGGAAAGTGAGTTTTATTACCCCTTATTTAAAGATGAGGAGACAGGTTTTGAGCTTTTAAATTACTTGTCCATAATCTCACGTGATAGTAAATGAATCAGGCTGTGCTTGAACCCAGGTTTACCTAAACCAGTACAGTACAGGGTAGGACCTGATGTCAAGAAGACCTCAGTTCAAATCCTGCCTCAGATAGTCATTTGCTTTGTGACCCTGGGTGAGTCACTTTAGCTGCCTGCCTCAGTTTCCTCATCTATAATATGGAGATAATAATTGCAATTGTTTCCAGAGTTGATGTGATCACATGAGATAATATTTGTAAATTGTTTTGCAAACCTTAAAGTACTAATTGAAAACACTTAGTACAGTGCCTGGCATATATTGAGTGCTGTATACATACTAGTTGTTTATTACTACATTATTATTATTATTATTATTATTATTATTATTCAGGGTTCTTTCTACTATGCCACATTGAGACTTTGAAATCAGAGACTTGAGACTCATCTCTTTGGGTGCTAAGATGCTAAGAATAGTTGTTCTTCCACCTAAACCATCAGGAAGGGTGTTAGCAATAGTGTTTTTGAGGAAGTTGCTTCATGGTATCCTAACCATATAATGAGAAGAGGTGGCATTTGAATAGCTTTTGCAGTTTACCCAACACTTTCCATCCATTATCTGTTTTGATCCTCACAGCCCCTTGAGGCAGATAATTCTTCCCTGAGTATTTCTTTATCCTTTCGTGCATCTGCAGCCATAGAGGAGGGGACTCTCCTTGGCACTCAGTGCTGTACCCTACAGCTGCTGAACCTTTCAGCCAATTTTGTGACTGTAAAAACATGTTCTACTATTATCATTTATGAAAATCTTATCATAGAGCCAGATCAAAGATGTCCTCTCTACATCTAGCAATTATTCTCACAAAGGCATTGCAATGGTGAAAAAACAGATACATGGACACTGCAGTAGTTCTTGATATTTCTTCAAACTTTTTTTGGAGGGTGAGAAGAGAGATAGTTATAATGTGTATGAATTTTCATGGCCCACGAATGCCTCCCTTCTTGCAGATATCTCACTATTTGGTCACTTGATAATTTCTAATTTGGGTGGACTCCATCTGTGTAATCAATGTAAATATTCTTATGCAGTGATTATTTTCCCAGTTTTGTGAATGAGACAAGATGAATTACAAAGAGATTAAATAAATTGTCAAGTTAACACATTGAGAACAATAGTAGAGAAGGGCCACAGACCTAGGGCTGCTGACTGTGAGCCTAAGTGCAGGTGTGGGGAACCTGTGGCAGCCTTGAGGCCATATGTGGCCCTCTAGGTCCTCAAGCATGGCCCTCTGACTGAATCTAAACGTCATAGAACAAATCTCTTTAATAAAAGGATTTGTTCTGTAAAACTTGGACTCGGTCAAAAGGCTGCACCCAAGGCCTAGAAGGCCACATGTGGCCTCAAGGTCACAGATTCCCCACCCCTGGCAGGGCATTTTATTGCTTCCTATATCACCTTTGCCTCTCTGGGTTTGGGGTTGTAGTTTAGGGCTAAAGTTCAACAAATAATTATTGAACACTGGTATTCTTTACACGTCCATTAATTAAATTAGAGTCAAACATATCTTGATTCACTAAACCACAATTTATTATAGAGTATGTGCCAAATCCCTGTTCTGAGAGCTAGAGGAGCAACAGCATTTAGATAAGACACGTAAGCCATAGAATATAGTTAGAAGAGCCATCAGAATGTGCCATCAGAAGACCACAGGCTGATTTTTGTCCCTGACACTTGATGTATATATTTATGTCTCTATTCATATCTATCTAAATACATATCTGTATCTGCATCCATATATATATATTTATATATATATATCCCTGTATCTATCCATCTATCTATATCTATAGCCATCTATATATCCCTTCATGTATATATTCATATCTATATGAATCTTCAATAAATATTATATATGCATATGTATATACATATATATTTGTTTACATGTATGTTTACATGTATGCATGTATACATACATCTTCTACTAGAAATCTCCCACCCTCCTAAAGCTTCAGTTTCCTCCTCTAGAGATTTGTTATAAGAATTGGAGAATCAAATGTTAAAAATGAATCAGTGATTTTTATTAATAAATTATTTCTCTCTATTTCTTCCTTGGTTTCTCTTTCAGACATCTTTGTTGACTCCACATCCTCACATCCCGGTAAGTAAAATATGTTGATTCACGGTTGATACCTTGACCAGCCTGGAGTGGTGCACTTCTTTGGGAAGATGGCCTTAGATTGTACTTAGCTCAGGGAGCCATTTTCTTAGCTAACTTCAGGCATTTGGGAGGGAGATGGAGGTATGATCTGGTGTCACCCTGGAAAAGGTGGAAAACAAGGCTCTGGGGTAAGGTAAACAGCATGGTTATACAGCAATTGAGAGACGGTAACGACCACAAAGAGGACCTTTTTGCCAGCGTGGTTGTGGCAATTGGAAATGATTTTGGAAAGAGAACCCCTCCCTCCCACAGAGCAAAGCTAGGCATCAGGGGAGAATGAGATTTCTCTGGTAGAAGAAAAGAGTACACCTTTGACCTTATTATCATCCTGGAATGAATGGCAAAATTTCTCCTAAGCCTAGGATTTATATTTTTGAAGAGATCTTAGATATCAATTTAGAACTTGTGATAAAGAAAAAAAAAAGGAAAGAAGGGTGTAGTCTGACATAGACCCTATGCTTTATGAGAGCATTTTTCAAAAAGTTCTGAGCAAAAAAGAAAACAACAACAACAACAACAAAAGACAACAGCTAGGAAAGATCCCATGTACTAAACTTCTACAAAGTAAATCAAATTAGAAGGAAAAGGAATATATCCAGAATGAAATTCTGACGACAAAAGAAAAGTCAGTTCTTTTGAGGAAGAAAATCGGTTTATCTAGAAATAGTGATGTGAATGCACAGGAACTTATCAACAAACTTATCTTGTTAAAAAAAATGTTGAGGAGATGGAAGCAAGTGACGGCACCTGTGCATGAAGACAAGACGGTAATGTTCAGCATACTACTGGATTGGAGAAAGGCAGTGTCTTGATTTACCACCATCACCCCAAAATTAAAAAAAAAAAAGGAAGGGAATAGAGAACATAGACTTTAGGTCGGTGAGTTTGACTTTGATTCCTGGAGAAATTATAGGATGGTTAGTTAACCTATAAAAGAAAAGAAAGCTGTGATCACAAGATGCCAACACATGGCTTCAAGAGCAAGTCATGCCAAACAAACTTCATATAATTTTTTTGACAAAGTTGATAAACTGAAAGTTAAGGGGAATTCTGTAGGTATAGCTTACCTATTTAATAATAGCATTTAATTTAACATCTTTTTGGTGTGAAAAGGAGGGAGAGAATTGGTCTAGAAAATAGTAAAGTTTAGGTAGATAGACAGATTTTTGTTGTTAGTCGTTTTGCAGTCATGTCTGACTCTGTGACCCCATTTGGCATTTTCTTGGCAAAAAAAAACTGGAGTGGTTTGCCATTTTTTTCTCCAGCTCATTTTCCAGATTTCCAGGGTTAAGTGACTTGCCTGAGGTCACAAAGCTAATATGCGTCTGAGGCCAGATTTAAACTCAGGAAGATGAGTCTTCATCATTCCAAACCCAGTGCTCTATCTGCTTCACCACCTAGCTGCCCAGATAGATAGACAGATAGATAGATAAAGAAGTCCAACTAGAATACACATTATAAGTTGTCATTCAACCCTTAATTTAAACTTCCAACAAAGGGGAGTAGACTTCCTCCCAAGGCAACCAAGAAAATTCTTAGATAGTGCTGCTTTTTTTTTTTTTTGGTGAGGTGATTGGGGTTAAGTGGCTTACCCAAGGTCACACAGCTAGTTAGTATCAAGTATCTGAGGCCAGATTTGAACTCAGGTCCTCCTGACTCCAAGGCCAGAGCTTTATCCACTGTGCCACCTAACTGCCCCGATAGTGCTTTTAATAATAGCATTTATCACGGTAGTATGGTAGCATCAATAGTAACATAAATAGTAGCGTTCATCATTTGTCTGGTACATTACTGTGCACCAGACAATATGGGAGGCATTAGAGATACAAACACAAAAATTAACGGTACATCCACTCAAAGAACTTACATTCTATTAGGGTAAATAGCAAGTGCTTAAACATGAATATACAAAATAAATGCAAGGGAAGTTTTTGCAACTTCCCCAGAGGGCAGACCTAGAAGCAATAGGTAGAAATCACAAAAGGACAAATTTAGACTTTATTTAGGAGAAAGCTTCCTAAGAATTAGGAACATCTAATGGTGGAGTGAGTTAAGCCAGTGTGTCATGGGTTCCCCATTGCTAGAGATATTCAGGCAAAGGTTGGACTTGTTAGTTCATTTTGTTCCAGGCTAGGTTGAACTAGGTAGCCTCTGATTTCAATTTGGATACTGTGTGATCATTCCTCATCTGTTCAATTAGGTAGTTGAACTAAACCATATCTAATGCCCCTCTCAATTCTAAGATATTATGATTCTATGAAATATTTCAGGAGGCCACATATTATAACATAGGGGAAATAACAACAAAATGGGTCATCAAAGGCTTGGTTTCTAGTCCTAACTTGGCTTTGTGATCCTGGGCAAATGACTTAACAACTCTGAAGGAAGTAAATAACCTCTAACATTCTTTCCACGTCAAACTTTTTATATTGTTTTAACATTCTGAGGTCTAAGGCCTCTCCTTTTGTTCTTTGCTGGGAAAAAAAAAGAACAAGAAATCATTGTGATATAGTGGAAAGTATAGGAGACTCGTGTCAGAAGAACCCCGAGTTCACATCTCATTTATGACAACTATTAAATGTAAGAAAGGGCAAGTTATCTATCCCACCCCGCCCTGCCTCAGCTTCAGTTTCCCTGTCAGTTAAGTGAGGATAATAATACCTGTAATATATATCTCAGAGGGTTGTTATGAGGCTCACATAATAATTCATGTAAAGTGATTTGTAAACCTTAATGTATGATTTAAATGATAACTATTATTGACATTAAAATTTTAAGTGCCCTTTTATCTCTAACAACTTATAAATGAGGAATCATTTATTAAGCACTGACTCTGAATGTTGGAGTTATAAATAAAAAAGCAACATTGCCCCAGCCCCTCGAGGAGCTGGTGGATCCCATACCGTCTGACACTTAGTTGCTTCATCCTTTGTCAAAATGGAATGGGCTTTTTCCTGGCCAGATGATGGGCCTTGCCTCTGCCTGTGCATTAAAATCTCTTTGCAATAAAGAAAGAAAAAGGAGTGCCTATAAAAAAGATTCACTGCAATATTCCAAGCCGCACTCCCTGGGGCAGCCTCGGTTGCCAAAGCAACATGTGTTTGTATTTATGGTTTTCTAAAGTGTTATTCTGTTTGACTTCATTATGCTCTTCTTCAGTGTGCACTTTCTGAGTCCCTGTGGATCAAGAGGAGGTGGGGAATGCTGAAGGATTTACAGGAGTTTTAAAGTCTCTAGCATAATTAAGAAAAGTCGTTATCATGGAGGAGACAAGAATATCTCTGCTCCAGTCTTTGCAAATCACTGCATTGCTGAAGTGCATGCACATACCACAAGATGGCAATAGTAGCTGCTGGTTTTCATGGGCCCCTGGTCTCCAGACTAAAGATAGGGTGAGAGGAACATAAGATGAGCAAATAGAATGGGCTGCTCCAGAAATGGAATTAACCTCAGAGAGCACTGAGTCCAATTGGCAACTCACATTTATTAGACACTTTTGTAAGTCTGAGCCTCAGCTTTCTGATCTTCTGTACAATGATAGACTACAGATGACCTGGAAGGTCCCTGGAAGCTCTGGACATCCGTGGTTCTATCTAACGTTTGAAGGTTGTCCAAATGCTTTCCTCACAGCAGTCTTGAGGAACAGGGAGTGCAAGGGTCAGCATCACATTTTATAGAGTAGGAAATGAGGCTCAAAGAAATGAAGTTAGGTACCCATGGCTATCCAGCTAGTCATAATAATTCACTTTCCTGCTGCTCTTTAAGGTATGCAAAATACTTTCCCCATAAAGCCCTGTGAGGTAGGCAATTCAAGGGCAAGCATTATTATCCCAGTTGAGATGTGAGGAAGTGGAAACATTGAGACATTAAGTAATTTGCCTGAAGTCACAGAATAACCCTAAAATTTGAGAGTTAGAGAGAACCTTAGCAGCTATGTATAGTCAACACCTTCTAGACAGGAATACCATCTATTACTAGACAGTAATGTCCCTGATTAGTGGCTGAACAGGCCTCTTTTCAAACCTTCCACCTCCAAGTTAGGGGAACCCAGCACCCTTTGAGGTAGGTCATTCTATCTTTGGGCAGTGCTAGTTGTTAGGGAAAAATGTTGTTTTTCCCCTGACATCAAACTAAATTCGCTGCTGAGCCTTCTACCTCTTGCTACTGATTGTTCCCTCTAGAACCAAAAATTCTTAATTCCATATGACAGTCCTTCAAATTCTTGAGTACTATTATCATGCTCTCTCTTCAATCTTCACTTTTCCAGGACAAACATCTCTTATTCCTTCAAATGATCCTCCTCATACAGTGTGTTTTCCAGTCCCCTTGCCATTATGGCAGACTCCTCTAACGAATCATTCTACTACCATCCTCAAGCAAGAGTAACCTAATCCCTCCCTCCAGGCTTAACCATCTTCTTCAGTCTCAGCCTACCTGTCTCGTGACACCACCGTTACATGGTTATGTTTCATTTCACTCCAATGCATGTGTTCCAACTCAACCGTGTCATTACAAAAATGTGATCCCCAGGGCTAAAGATACTTCAGATGGACCATAGCTAGTATGCAGATCCATCAAGACCACCACCTTCTTCCTTCTAGACTCTACTTCTGTTATCATGGCCCAAGATCACATTAGCTCTTGTGGCTTCCCAGTCACACTATTGACTCATACTGAGCCTACCTACAGTCAATAAAAACCCCAGGTCATTTGCGCAGTATGAGATGAATCATTCACATCGGTAAGAAAGACCAGAGGAAGAGAAGAGTTAGTAAGGAATCTTTGGATGAACTATTAAGAAGGGCTTTGTAACCAGAAAGATAGAGAAGGCCAGGTCTTATTCATCTCCATATCTCTCCCAAAAAAGTAGCTTAAAGTTATCACAAATGAACAGTATTCTCTGATTGGTCTACTGTTGTATTGGTTATAGACAGAGTAAA